TAACAGTCCCCTTACATATAGAATAAAAAAATAAAATAAAGTTTAAGATTCTCTCTCAATGGTACCTCAGACCAGTTGGGTGTTAAAAAAAATGGGGGAAGAAATTGTGGTGAAACGAGATTTAATGCTTGTGGGGTGGACATGTCAAGTAATTAGACAGTACTGGGATGAAGTTCATAACCAAATATCATAAGGTGTGGGATATGTGTTACCAAATGGTCCTCTGATAATCATCTTGGGACTTCCTGGCAGAAATGTTTTAGAATTAACATCTCAGCTGTTAGTAGTTGCTCAGCTAATGACAGATTTTCACCAGGGAGGCGGGGAAGTGCTCCAGTCATAGATGGTAGGTATATGAGGCAAGGAGAGGAAATGCCTTGCATGGGTCTTAGTGGTCAACCTATCCCCTTCTCCTATCCCCATTCTAACCATTCCTAAGGCTCCCACAGCAGGCTGTTGTTGCTTAGGGACTGGGGACTCTTCCCCAGAAGCAGATCTTTTAACTTAAAACTGAAGAGCCTTACAGCTTGCCAGACTTATTAGCACTACATGGAACCTGTGAAAGAGCCATTCAGTGGGAATGAAACCAATGAATGGACATGTGCCTACCCTGAATTTACTGACTAAAACAGTTGTGCATTACTGTGTCTACAGGGCTTTTGTTTAAAATTTGCTTTAAGTATTTCATTGGTTTGTTGCTGAAGATTATGCAATCACACTTCTAAAAAAAACCCTTGCAGAGATATGCAGATGCACAATCTGAGTATTCAGCTTTAGCCTTAAATGCCTGGATCTTCAGACACACAGTTTTTAAAAATAAATTCTCTAACCTGCCAATTTTAATTAGTATAAAGATTGCTTCCAAAATCTTCCTGCCCTTTCTACCTATCCCTACTCTCCTTTTACCCCCTTGTTGAAGAGACTCCTTAAAGAGACAACATTCATTTTCTTCCAAATAGCTGGACAAATGAGTTTCCCTTTTCCTTCTGATTCTTTGATGAATTAGTTTTAAGAGAAACCTCCACCCATAAAATTCCTTCTTATGCCTAAAATTGTTGGAAATATATTTTTAAACACAAACACATAGTGAAATGGCATTAACATGTCTTGTTATGAAAAAACTCACAAAATAAAATAGTGTTCCCTTTTCTAAAAACTATGAACTTTGCTGTAAACACGCTAAACCACTTTGTTTCAATGAGTTTAATGTATATAGTAACTTCCCTGGTCCAGCACCCTCGGGACTCTACCACCCATGTTAGGTGAGTCTGTGACCTTGGGGAGCTATTAAGCAGAATCCTTTAGTGACAAGGAACTTTAAGGCCACCACCTTCTGCACTCGAAGTGCCAGAGCAGGGAACTGCTTTGACATGATCGTACTGCTTCCACCATGTCAAATTTCTCCCACTCTTCCCATTGGCTCTCCTGGCTCCCTGCCAACACTTCCTGAATACCCAGTTTTAGGTTTAACCCTTTAGTTACTGAATGCTGGGATGTTTAGAAAAGGGTAGAACTACTCCCATCCATCACATAAGTAGTTGTAACAGAAAAGTTACAACAAAGTATTTACATAACAAAATACAGAGATGACAGGTACAGGCAGTCCCCGACTTACGCGGATCCGACTTATGTCGGATCCGCACTTACGAACAGGGCTTTTCTCGCCCCGGAGCTCACGGGCGGCGGGTCGCCACCCGAGTCCTCCGGGGCGAGAAAAGCTTCTCCCGGTCTTCCTGGTCTGCTGGGGGGGTCCAGCAAAGCCGCCGGACCCCCCCAGCAGACCAGGGACACAAGAGCAAAGCCCCAACCAGCAGACCAGGGAGACGGAGCAAAGCCGTGGAGGACTTGGGCGGTCCCGCCACCCCCGTCTCCCTGGTCTGCTGGGGGGGGGGGGGGGGGGGGGGGGGGGGGGACAGTAGAATCCCCGGGCCGGACTAACTCATGCTTTGTGGAGGGGAAGGGGGAACAGGGGCAGCGTCCCAAGATCTACATATGGCCGGGTCAGTCCCACTCCCTGCAGGCCGATTCATTCCTCCCCCCCTGCTCACCCACT